GGCCAGGAGCCCCTAGTAGCTTCTTGCTCCTAGTAGTAAGGCACTTGTTTCTAATAGCTTCTTGTTACTACTAGTAAGGCACTTGTTACTAGAAGCGATGCACTTGTTCCTAGTAGCTAATCCATCGCCTAAAATGACGGTGACAGATATCATTGGGATGGTGTCACACCAGCCGCTTTACTTTTGGGAAGTCGGTGAAGTGATTTTCGCAGAGGCCTTCTACCTAAAAGCCTCCCTCAAGTGATGCTTTTTTGGCAGATGTTTTTGATTGAGATGACATTCCGTTACAAAGGAGACATGGTTGACAGATGCTGACAGCTTGACCTTGGAAGCGTTTTCGAGGTTTCCATGGACATGAGGAATGTTTGCTGGAAAGACATTCAAAAGGATTGGGAACGTGTGGACAGCATTTTCAGCCGGAGCCCAACGTTTTTCAACATCACCAAAATCTATATAAATTATATAACATCTTGAACAGCAAGTGACTTTCATGTTCTTCCCCCGAACAGTTCCAACTTGGCTCACTATACGAGTTCTCGAATCTGGCTCAAGGCAGCTTTAACAGCTTAGCACACAAGTCGAATCCACAGTTTGTGAAGTCGTTCCATGATGCGAGCCCTCCTATTGCTTTGCATGGCATCAGTGCTTGCGTTACGCCCAGAGCGTTCTCTCGAGGAAGGCACGGCGAAAATCCAGAAGACAGAGGAACTGGAAGGCTCACAGGACACCTTGCACGCAGGAGAAGCCTGCCAAAAGGATTGTCATTTTCTAAGATTTGCATACCGATCTTTTTTGCATTGGTTTGGGCATATTTAGGCCTTTGTTTGTTTCTTTCTCTTGAAAGAACGGTGGGGAAGTTGCAAACCCTACACGAAACACGATGGGGCAAAGCAGTCGTGCCCAAAGATCAAAGATAAGAAGACTTGCCATGGCACATCTTTTTGCACGTGGTGCACTCCGCTTGGCTGCACAAAATAAGAGTGAGACCTTCCCCGGAGGTCTGCCAGCAAAAGCCTGGCTTGGCCGACAGAATGTGAGCTTGATATAGCTTGATTGCTTTGGAGCTTTTGGCCAACCAAACAGACAAAAAGTCGAGCTTGAAGATACATATCTTGTAACTTTACGATACTGAATCTGACACAACATCTGATATTCTGGGAACATGGGACTGCGCAATATGGAAAAGCTTGTGACGGGTAAGTTTCGCAAAGTGAACATTCCTCACAATGGAAGGATTTGTGAATCATTATGAAGGAAGTTGAGCCTTAGCCCTTCTTGTGAGCAAATCTTGTGCTGGGAGAACCTATCAGACTTTTTGGCAGATTCTCCTACATCCAGCCTTGTGGGTGCGTCCAGCTGCTTGAAACGATCAATGTGGGTGCAGTTCAGGGGGTACAATCATGGGTAGTAGGGGCGGGGCATCGGCATCTCATACTTTTGACCCCCTTGGTGGATCACATGTGACCAACTTGTCACAGAATTTTGGATGCTGGATTTGGAATCCTTTCAAGTGCTTTTGTTTTTTGCGGGAGTTGAATATGTTGCTTCCAGAACACAAAGGGGTTCTGCCTCGGTCTTCGGTTTTCTTGCTTTGACCTTTTTCGTGCCAAGCAGGCAGCTTCTACCTCCTCGGCCTCCACGCCCCTTGGGCGGCTGGCCAAGGTGCCGTGGGGCGTACCGAGCACACGTGGCGTTTTGTTTGTTTTTGCTGAGACATATTGTTGGAGGCCTTTGCTATTAGGTTGGAGGCCATAGTAGTAAGGTTTTGGTGTTTTGTTAGTTTATTTTTTGGTATTGCTATCATCGAGACCTATTCGGTGCTCTGCAAATCCATCCGCCATAATGTGAGTGCTGGCTATACCAGATGTTTTGAGTGTGATAAGCTCCGGTTTGTTCCTATCCAACACTGAGCAGGTATTTGTTTCATGCAGATCAGAGGGTCGTCATTACCATATTTCTTTGTTCCTTCCCTGAGTTTGTTCATTGATGTGTGGGGGTTTTGTTTTTGGTGTGGTATTCGCTCCTCCTTCGCTCCTCCTCCTCGCTCCGCCCCTCCACCAATTGTCACTCACCAACCAATTGTCATCAACCAATCGTCACCAACCATTTGTCATTCACGAATTGCCATGCCACCCACCAATTGTCACCAACCAATTGCCATCCACCAATTGCTACCAACAAATTGCCACCAACTAATTGTCACCACGGGGTCGGATGTACGCCGTGGGGTCGCTTGGTCGCCGCAGCTTTGCCGGTGTGATTTGCGTGGCGGGCGCGGTACTTGGTGCTCTCCAAGGGGTCGGATGTACGCCCTGGTGCGCGCATTGATGTCCTCTACACATACATACGTGATCCAACACCTGCGCACTCCACCACCATTCAGATGCACACACACACACATCACATATACATACGCAGGCACAGTGAGACACGTGACGTTCAAGGGGATTCTCACCCAATCAGGATGAACAACATCCTGCCAATATTTGGCTCAAGTCTAAGAGGAAAACAGGCTGAAGCCACTGAAACTTGTGGTCATCAGCCGTATCGCTCATCCTGTCTTCTCACGCCATTGGTGCTTTCTTTGCTGCTGGAGCTGCCCGCTACTCTGAGCTTCGTCTTGACTGGTTCGCTCCTCTCTGTCCTTCGATCCTTGTCTGAGAGGGTGTGTATGCCCAGAAGCAGAAGAGCCAAAGAACTTGCCCTACAAGCCCTTGCACCCACGTTCCCTTGGTTGCCCCGTCATCTGCAGCAGGAAGGTTGAGGGTGGCACAAGCAGTTGGGAACTTAGCAAAAGCTTCGGGAACCCCGTCTAAGGAACCGTTAGTTTTTCCAATTCTCCTGACTCCATCACAGGGCGCTGGTGGTGCAACCGTGTTCGACCCACCACCACCATCACCTGTTACCAAAAGTGCTACCCCTCAAACCTCCTCTTTTGTAGACTGTGCCGAGGCAAGCCCCGACAACCCTGATTTCCCAGTGCATCGTGCCGAGTCAAACCCGTGTGCTGAAATCCCGACGAAAGATCCGATCCAATCCAAAAAGCGGCCAGTTGAAGGCGAATTTGAACTAGACTGTCTAGACTGCTCAACCCAGCCAACTCTGGCAAAGGCAAAGGCCTTGGAGTCAGATTCCTCGCGAGTAAAGTCTGGGTCTATTGTTGGCGTTCACCCTGCTGTTCACGCGTGTTGGGTTAGTGTTGATTTCAACGGGTGTCTTAACGTAGCAGTGGCTGGTGACTCGGAGTTATCCAGCATTCACCCTTCAAACGTTGTCGCGCTCAGGGAATTTTTGGATACAACAGCAGATCACGGGGTTAGGGTAGGCATCACTTCCTACATTGGTTTGTATGGTGGTAAGTCGCAGGAACGCAGGACTTCTTTGTTGAATACTGTTCGGGATTATAACTCATCTGTTTCAGACCCTAGGAAAAGGTTGGGTTTAAAGATTGTCGATTCACGTGACGCAAAGGGAGATTTTCTGAAGAACGCAAAGGCATTTGCACACATTGACGATCGTTTGAGTACCTTGAACGGTATTTTGGAAGACAGCTCGGGGGTCAAGACCTTTTGGTGCACTCAGGCTAGGTCGAATCGTACGCACGCAGTTGTCCGCTCGGTCAGGGAAGCTATTGACTTGATTAAGGGTGGGAGGATACACGCGTCTCTCCATCCCAATCGATTTGACAGTTTCTGGGCAATTCCTTGAGCAAAGCTGCTCTTTGAGTAGACTCTCACCTCAACTTGCTTGCGCTTGCGCGGGGGGAAGGGGGAGCGGTCGAAGCGAAGGCTGTGAATGACAGAGTCTTCAAGTACAAGTTATCAGCTGACAAGTGCATCATCAGACGTTCACGGACTTCCAGCTGTTGGTGGTTCTAGGGAATCAAGTAGTGGAGCATCTAGCCAGTCCGAACGGAATCGAAGCGGAGGCTCCCGTCCCTACTCAAGTAGGCCACCAAAAGCCCCAAGACCTTTCACTCCAAGAAGAAGAGACCTGGAGATAGAAGAAGACCCAAGGTATGCAGTCACCCAGCGGGACTTCCAGTCCCCCACCGATGAATCCATGGACACCGTCGAGGGAATCCCTTTCTCCACTGTTCAAGCGTTTCAAGACCAAAGAGCGTTGAATTTTGATCAAAGATCGGTCCATGTTGAACAACATGTTCGCAATCCTGATCCATCGATCGTCGGGGCCCTAGCCGCTGAAGCAGCAAGTTCGGGCCTGAGAGCAGAGGCAGCCCAAGTTGTTGCCCAAGTGAGAGAAGCAGCCTTACAAGCTGCGACGGACTATAGGGTGGAGGCAGTACAGGCAGTAGCTAACGCAAGGATTGAAACGACGGTTGCGCAAGCATCTGCAGAGGCCTCTCGGGTTAGCGCCTTGGCAGAGATCCAGTATCTTCGGAAGCAGCTGGAAACTTCCCAAAGGGAAAACCAAATGCTAAGGGAACAATTCGTAAAGAGCGAGATCAAGAAGTCAGTAATGCTACGGGCTTTCAACAAGTTGATCTTCGTCTTGAAAGGATTGAGCAACAGATCGCTAGAGTAGAACACAAACTGGATTTGCGTCAGGAGTACATTCAAGAATTGTGGATGCACCAACCCCCTGTTCCTGAGGTGAGGCAGGAAGGTGGTCAAACTCCAGTTGTTCGGATGAATGATGGTGATCAAGCTGATTTCGATCTTTCTGGGGCAAAGGAAAGTCAGGACGGATCCCAAGCGTCCAACGATGTTGAAAGTAGGTGTTTGAGGACCAAAGACTCGCATCATCTCAAACTCCCGCAACTTCCCGAATCAGCCAGTCAGTATAGGCCGTGGAGAAATTCGGTGAGAACCATGTTGTTGTCATATGACCAAAGTCAGGAGGGTTTGCTCCACCAATGGTTGACTCCTGCTTTCACAGCTAGAGGGGATGAGTCAGATCTTTTGCGAACTGATTCCGGTGACTTTCCTAGACTTGATCGGGTATTGGCTTCCGTATTGTGCCGTCAAGATACTTTGCGAACAGCTTTGGGTTTGCGAACCCAGAGCTATGTGGAAACGTGTGAAGGCACAGGACATCAGATCCGGGGTCGGTGCATTTTGAACCTCGTTGCTAAAGAATATGATGATGCGGAAACATGCCATCACGTCGAGCTTGGAATTGTTCCAGCTCCCGGTTCCTCAAGATTCAGCTTTGAAACAATGGAGGGACAAATCTGTTTACATTCTACCCCAATTGCAGTCTCACCAAAAACCAAACGAAGAATTGATGTCTCAATGGATCTACAACACGTTGAAACGACACCCACTCATGAGAAGGGTCATGGATCGCTATCTTGACTCACAGTTGGGTTCCTACGAAACGTCTTTTGATGCAATGTGGCCAGGGGTAGAACGAGCTCTTCTTGAGGCCCAGTACGATGCCAACGCGCAATCCATTCGAGATGACTTGAAACGTGGCCCTCAGCAACTCAAGAAAGCCACGGCTCTCCCAGGCGCAAAAGACAAAGGAAAGGGAGTAGCAAAGCTCCCAAGGCTCCCAAGGAAGGCAAAGGCAAGAAGGACAGCCCGCCTAAGGAAGCAAACGCAACAGCAAGCAGTAGTAAACAGGTCAACAACTCACTCCCGCTGAAAAGGCTGCCTGTCCATGTATTTATCATGTTTGCGGTAGATGCATGCGTGGGGATCAATGTCCTTATTCTCATGCGTCCCAACCTGCAGCAAAGGCCAAGGCGACATCCTCAACGTCCGCTTTCGGTGCTAAGGTTCCTGGCGCAGTCGCAATCCTGACGTCAACCTTGACTGCAGCCGTGGCCTCGTCGTCGTGTACATGCTTGGAGTTTGTTGGGGACGCAGGAGCCGGCGAATGTTTGGGCTCCGTAGAGGCATTTCGACGACAGGGGTTGGAGCTTCCTGATGATTTGCAGTACAGTCATCACGTCCACAGAATTTTCTCACTGGGTGCGGAACCAAGTCCGGGAATCAAACCATCGGTATGTGGAGTTCAGAATTTGAGCGTCTTCATAACATGTACTTGTTGCCCAACTGTCCCCTTGCGCTTTCTATTGGCCAGTTGTGTGAGCAAGATGGGTACACTTTTGTATGGCAACCATCGCGCCTCCCCATGCTCACCCCACCAGCATCTCAGTGTGACATCACGATTTCAGGTGTTACCATTCCAGCCAATCGCGTTGAACACCACGTTCCCATCTTCCAGCTGCATATGACTTCCACTTATGGCCTTCCCTCCTCAGTCGATGTTGCTGGCGGGGGGGGGGTGCTCCTTCAGCTGCCATCGGGGACGCCATAGCCAGTTTTGATACCTACGGGGCACCGTCAAAATCAAATGGCAAAACTGTCCCCAGCCCTGCGCCGGGCGCGGGTGGGGAAGCCGATGTTGATGATGAACCCCAGGAACTTCTTGACTTAGCAGACTTAGCAGCGTGCATGATGTAGACAAAAACTGGGTTGAAGGAATTCCCACAAATCACCTGATGACTCACCTGCCTAAATCCCGGAATTGTGATACATGCAAGAGGGCTAAGTTGTACGAGTCGCCGCATCGGCGCTCAGGAAACATGAGCGAGAGCCTTCGCGATGCTCGCGCAGCAGAAGCGCCCACTGACTATCTAGACAAGCTATCGGTGGATCACATCGTTACTCGGGAGGAAGTGGGGTTTCGGGGGGAATGCTACACTTTCGTAATGGTATATCACTTCACAGGGCTGACTTCCATCGTGCCATGTAAAACGAAAAGCTCTGAAGAAATTGAGATGGCCTTGAGGCGTTTGGTAGGGAAGAGGCGTCCAGGTATCATCCAAATTGCCAGTGACCGAGCTCCGGAAATCAGGAAAGCGTGCAGAGATCTAGGGTTTTCTCACGAACCTGCACCTCCATATCAGAGAATTCACAACGCTGTGGCCGAATCATCAATACGAACCATCAAAGGCATGACATCGTCTGTGTTACTCCACTCAGGTTTAGATTCCGAGTATTGGCCGCTGGCCCAAAATTACCTTGAATGGGCATACAACATCACGACTGATAGGTATCAGAATGCGTTCGTTTACCAGTTGGAATGTTTCATGATTCCTTTCGGGGCAATGGTTTGGTTCAAAGACCCTGACCCACTGGCCTATGGGCCAAAAGGGGAACCAGCTTTGTTTTTGGGCGCCGAACTGATCGATGGATTCTTGTTCAAGGGAAACTACAGGGTTTGGCCAATCGATGCTGTCAAGACAGGCGTCTTCAAGGAGTTCGTCACGAGAACCTTGGCGAGCTCTATGGGCAGCCAACAAGTGGGGACGACTGGGCGCAATACTTCGACGCCACGCTTGTCTTGGATCTCCAGGGCCAGCGAATTGAGGCTTTCCCTTCGCTTTGGTATTTCCCATCCCTTGAACTCCTTGTTGGGGGGTATGTTGATGACATTTTTTTGTTCAGGGCCCGAAGCGTCAATGAGTATCTTTTGGGAAGAACTTAGCAAAAGGATCAAGGTCGATGCAATCACGGAACCTGGTCGGTACTTGGGTAGGGATCACATCGTGTTCAACTTCCCCAAAGGCAAACAAATCTTCCCCTACATGAAGGATTATGCGGTAACATCGTACAAATTGTATGAGGATCAGTTTAACTGCACCCTCAAGACTATGACGCTCCGTTTGTCACCGAGTCCGCGCTGACTCCGTCGGGGTATGAGGAAAGTGGACATCTTGCAGGAAAAGCGTCCCAATTGTTGATGAAACTCTTGTGGCTAGCGCGGCTAAGTAGGCCGGACATTTCTTATGCAATATCGTCGCTGGCAGGAAACATTAGCCGGTGGTCAAGAAACCACGACTTGATGCTTTGCAGGCTCTTGGGATATGTCAAAGCCACAGTTGACTACGGGGTCCATGGCACGGTAGTAGGTACAGACATGATGCCGAGGCTTCACTTGTTTGCAGACGCAGACTTGGCGGGTGATGTGATGACCTTCAAATCGCATAGCGGACACTTCGTTGTCTTGCAAGCTGACGAGGGCACATTTTTCCTTTAATATGGTCTTCCAAACGCCAGAGTTGTGTTTCCAGGAGCACAACCGAAGCTGAGATTGTCTCAGCTGCAACTTTGGTTTTCGACGATGGACTACCCCTAAAAGACCTACTGGAAATGTTATTGTCGCAGCCCATTGAAACTCTGATATAGTCCTAGGCAGAGGTCCCTCAACAGGACCCACAAAATCAGTGTCGCTGCCTTGAGCGAAGCAATCCAAGATCAGGGCATCTTGCCCGTTCTGACTTCCACGCAGGACCAATTGGCGGACATTTTTACTAAGGCGCTGGTACGCCCCACCTTTCTGCAACTAAGGTCTCGAATCGGAGTTGGGCCTCCGCCCCCCTCAGCCTTCTAAGACTAAGTAATAGCAGGGTCAGCCCTTGCGCTATGCGCTGGTGACTAAGGAAGAGGCAGACGTGGAGGCTCTGGCTGGATGCTTCGTGATTACTAAGTTCAAGTCGCTGTGCGGTGGATGCTGCTGATGTGCGACAGCTGCTGCTGAGCGGCTGCCTGGATGACTGAGAGTGCATTTCTCCAAACGGAGCCCTCGTTCTCATGCACAGAATCATCTGAATTCTGTCAAGTCCACTTTAGTTCCCTGTTGCTTACCTAACCTCAGGATCTCCTGTGATGCGAGCCAATTTGCACACGCAACCCTGGCCCGGGGGGCTGCATGTGCGAAGTGATGTTGGTAAAGGCGCAGCCACCTGAGGGGGGGGGCGTGACGTTCAAGGGGATTCTCACCCAATCAGGATGAACAACATCCTGCCAATATTTGGCTCAAGTCTAAGAGGAAAACAGGCTGAAACTACTGAAAGTTGTGAGACAAACCATCAACTGCCAACCAACAACCACCAACCAACAACCAACAACCACCACCCCATCAACGTTTCTCACCGCGCTTCTTCTTCTTGCTGCACAGGTTGTAGCTGGTAAAGTAGTTCGCATGTGGGGTTATCCGGTCCTATAATTTTGCCCATGCAAAGGAAGCCATTTTTTCGACTCACTTTCGCTGGCCGTCACCGTCGTCGCATTGGCCAGGGTGGCCCCAGCCTCTTCAGCGGTTCCGTCCGACCTGCTGCAGTGTCTGCGGCTGCGCTGTCGGCGGTTCTCCTCTCGGGGAGGGTGGCACGGGTGGCGCGAGTGGCGCGGCGTCCACGGGGGTTGAAGGCGCAGGCGGGGTGGAATGATGATAAATGGTGTTTTTTTGCTTTTTGGACAAACATCGCTAGTAGGGTGGAGGCCATCGCTCTTAGGTCTCTTTTTGCTCGCTTTATTTTGAACTGATATCACAGGCCACGGTTGATTTCTTCTTATTTCTTCTGTCATTTCTGGAGGCTATGCCACCATGCCTGGGTGTCATTTGTGTATTCATCTACGCTATGCTGCTATTCATCTACCTTGCCATTCCCGACTTTATATACCTGCTGTAGATTCTATCTCGATCAGTTGGCGCAACATCACCGAGCAGTGGCAGGTCAGAGAATTTGTGCCCACAACACCAAAGTTGCTAGAGTAGACAAAAGGAAGCATCGCTACTAGGAACAAGAACGCTACTAGGTGCTCCTGGCCATACTACTAGGAGCAAGGACGCTACTAGGAACAAAGGGCATCGCTACTAGGAACAAGAACGCTGAGGAAAAGGTCATGGAAAAGCCGCCTCACTGAGAAGCGGAGCACATCTGAAAAACGGCTCTCGTCAGTAGCCCAAGGTGTTCAGGGTGCTGGCAAGTTTGTCCGCAACGCTGAGGCTGAAGTGGTTTGGCCCAAAGGGACACTGCAACATGCTCAGGCTTTTGTGGTCTTCTCAAAGCTCTTGGAGGTCATCACTCTTTAGGTTGGAGGCCATCGCTTCTAGGTTGGAGGCCAGTAGACTAGACCGCAATGCGGTGGCCAAGGGGCAAGGGCTTCCCTCCCAAATCTCTTGTCGAAGCCATAAGCTAGCTGCAAGGCCTGCACGTTGCAAAAACTATGCGCGGTGTAGGAATTAGCTGCCTCCCAAGCTGCAAGACGGATGCTTAGAATCAAGGTCACCCTCTCGGTCGACAAACTGCGACAAAGGCAATACAGCGGAAGGAAAATCACCAGTTTTTCCGTTCTCTTCTGGGTAAAGACATTGTCTACGACCGTCACCATCCGGAGAGTCGCAGGCGGCTGCCGCCTCACTGATTCTGGATGATGGCTGGGATGACGAGCCAGAGGCCAATGCCAGGAGCTGAGGAGGGTCTTTTAATGATCTTTTCTGGGTCCAGAAAGCAGATAGGCATGATAGGCCCGCAGCGTTTTGAAGGCCGGGCCGCTCAAGAAACATTCTCAGTAGTGTCTCAACATCCAAAAGTTTCGCGAACCAGGGGTGTTGGTCAGTAGACCTCTTTGGAATCTCATAGTGTGTACTTGCCTCCAGGACTTTGACGCACCGTAGCAGTGCCCTTTTCCAGTTTAGCCTCGCACAATATGTGTCAACCAGATCATGGACGATATTTGGGACATGACAGCGCACTCGCTTTTTATGCCCGTATGATATCCGACAAATGTTTTGAGAATCGTTTGGGAAACGTCCCAATGTCAGAGGAACTTGAATGCCAGCCTGCAAGTGCAAAGCATTAGTTCATTCTTTTTAACCCACAAAGTTAAACTAGCTTCCCTGCGCCTTTATGAAGATATTGTGCAAACATGTGAGGCTGCCAACACCAAGTGAGAAAGCTGAGACGTCTTGAGCCTGTGAGTCTAAGGAACAGGTGCCTTTGAGCAAAAGGGCCCCGTTGCTGATTGATGGCACCTCGGCGACATGGTGCTTCGTGGAGCAGTGGGTGGCTTTGGTGCCATCGGAAGGTAGAGCCCATCGCAATAGACTAGTATGATACGGTGCATGCCATCAGGATGCTCCTGGGGCTCCATTTCAGTGTTCAAGTTCAGGACAAACCTCACTGGCGAAGTTCTAATGTTAAGTTTCCCTAAAATACTAGAAACCTAATCATTAGTGCTAGCAGCATGCTTGAAGAAGCGTGAGCTATCCTGCGTCCAAGGTAGTAGCTTACTTGTAGGTAGTAGCTGCCTAGATTCTACTAGCTACTAGTTACCTACCCAGCTAACCTACCTCTACTAGCGGCCTAACCACCCCCGAGTTTCAAAAAATGACAACCCGGTTCGTTTGATTCGCCTTCGAGGCCGCATCATCATCCCGCCCAAGAGCTTTCGGGTCACCAGTCCGGCCACTGGGAGCCTCTCCGGAAGTAGGTCCTGGGGCTTTTGGTGGATTAATCTTTTTTCTTTATATTGCTTTTCTCGATTTTTGTGGTCATTTCTGAAGTGCACTCCTGAACTTCTGAAAAATAAATGAAAAAAAACATATGTTAATGGAAACAGTGGTGTTCACATTGGCAGGGATATATAGGTAAATTGTGCAAAGGGGTGTAGCCTCAAGCTAGTTGCTTACGAGACAGCAAGTCAGAGGACTGTTTGTCAACCATGTTTGTCCATTCCTTCACTCCAAATGTGTCCATGTTTGTGCTAGCTTGAAGGTTGGCACGCCGAGTGACAGGTTCGGAGTTGATGTCAGTGGGTTGCTTACATGATGCAAACAGACATCAAAGCATATCCAAACACTGCACCCTGCAAGTGGAATCATCCATTTGCGGACAAGGGATGTTTGAGCCTATTTAATGTCATTAATTATTTGCTGATCTGCCAATTTTTCGGGCTATTGACAACTATCTTCAGACCCATCCGATGGCTTGTAGATGCTTCTAGCACTTATTGTGCCTACACAACTTGTTTTCTTTTGAGCATCTCGCCATGTTTCCCAGGTTCAGAAGGTGTAAGGCTTTCCGACCAATTGCTTCCCGAAACCAAACAGATACCATTTATAGATCCATAGCAAGGGTGTGTCAAGGCCAAACGGATCATAACAACATACTGCACTTGTAACGTACGCCGATTCAGGAGCTTGGTCGGTGTGGCGCCAGATGCCTCAGCTGACATGATTGAGGTGCGAACAGCGGAGTTAGTGGAGTTAGCGGACACCAACTACAACCTAGCAAAAGGGACCTGAAAGCAATGGCCTCCACCCTACTAGAAATGGCCTCCAACCTAAGAGCGATAGCCTCCAACCTAATAGCCGTCTGTTGTTTTCTGATTCTTCGGCCTGGTGTGATGGTGGTGACTTTGTTGGATGAAACATTGGATCATTGGATGATTGGCATCGGGGCTGCCAGTTGTCATTGCAAGACATAGGCTGTGATTTAACCAACGAACCTCAGAATGGATATCTCCTTAAAAAAATAAAGCTAGTCTCTTAATCACTAGTAGGGAGGTCATTGCTTTCAGGCTCCTTTCCGTGTAAAGCTGACAAATTGGAAACCGGTTCTCGGGAACAGAGTGGACACGTACAATCGGAAATTACGTCGTGCTTGCTCCGCAATTTGGGTCGACCGTACAATCCCACGTAGGGCTCCACGAAGCGAAAGAGTGTAAGAGACACTAGAGACTACACTATTAAGTGATGAAGAGAAGAGGGGCTCCTGGAGAATGAGTTGTTCCAATGCACATTATGTCCAAATAGTTCAGTTCATGCTCTCCGCATTTCTCCACCCTTTTGACCAGTTATTCTGCAGTGGATATCTGTCTATCAACGTCTAACCATCCAACTTGCAATGACTTTTTTGTTTTGCACGAATCAAATGGCGCACGCACAGGCAAGTACCGAGACTTATTCCACTCATTCAAGGAGTCTATTCTCGTCTCCCAGGCATTCACAGACGGTTTGCGCACAAGCATCTCAGGCAGCGGTGACCGCAGCCCACCGAGCAGCGCCTGGCTGGGCCCAGCTGCGGCACACGGAGCGAGCCAGCGTGCTCATGCCACATGGAGATCAGACAGGGTCATGGAGTCATGCATATTTTAAGGAACCTAATAGCGATGGCCTCCAACCTAGAAGCGTTGGCCTGTTGTTGTTTTTCCTTTGAATTTGTCAGTGAGTACAGTAAGTACAGCCTTTACCTTTTCACGTACATTATTTTTTCTACTTTTTGCTCGGTGCCGATTTCAAATGCACCGTTCACAATGTCATTTATGCGGCTAAGCTTTGTTGGATATAGAGAAACCTCCAGCAGCACGGAGGTTTGGCTCAGAACGGTCTATGTCTTCGGTCCATTCGGAGAGGCCTATTCTACTCGGATATGAACCAATGCGGATATGAGATAGCCAGATAGCCTTTGCTACTACTTGCTACTTCTGGCCCCTACGAAGTTGTGGGCTCTGCACCATATGAGGTCCTGCGCGGACACTCTGCGATCCAACTTAGAAGCTTTGGCCACGCTCCTCGGCACTGAGTAGATGTGAGTAGATGAAGTTCAGATGAGCAAGAGTTCTCTCCTGGCTGCTCCCTAGCACTTCATGAACCAACCATCCAAGCCAGACTTTTCCCTTTCCATATCCGCATAGTTTCTATCAAATCCAGCAAGAGGCAAATGATTTTCTTCGTTCGAAGCATTCCGAGCTGTGCCCCTCCGAGGCTGCAGACCAATGAGAGTGGGCGCCCCATCTCGGAGACCCGCATCGAGGCTGGATCGTAAAAGAAAAGAACCGTTTCCAGATCATCTGCGTTCGATGAGTTCGAGTTTTCTTTACATCTGTTGTTTTGCTGCGGATGGTGAAAAGCGAAACTGCAAAACTTTGAGTTGCATCGAAGAGATTCTCCTTCTCTTAAAAACAAAGCACATTTGTGTACATGTTGCTTCCCAGTATCTTAAGTTCTTGGCCTCGGGGTTGGCGACATGCTACGTTTTAAGGCCCTTCGCGAGTTGAGCAGTAAAAATACAAACGGCTGATTGAGCTCCATTTTTAGATGTCCAGAACTCCATCAGGATGCTTTTGCCAGTGCCAGCGGGCAGGTCATGGTGGCTGCGGCGACATTCGAGAATGCTGCCAGACACCGGGCAACCGAAATTTGATGTTTGCGAGATATCATAAGTTGCGTCCTTGCTCCTAGTAGCGATGCCCTTTGTTACTTTTGCGTTGGACAACGACTTAAGATCTTCCCACATTCGTACATCGATTGTGCGATGGTGATGCGTCCTTTCTCAAAGCAGTATATATATACATTCCCAGAAGGCTTTGAGCACCTAGGAGAACACTGGCTTCCAGGAATATCAGACATCATCTAAGGCTGTCAGAGGTTCGTTTTCTCGCTTGTTTCTGGAGCTCAAAGCAGAACAGCCAAGGATTCCTTGACATCAATCAGGCGGGTGTCAGTCGCGACATGTAAATGGTTTGAGCTGACTGACGGATGGTCGCATATGGTCGCAGAAACCGAAAGACCACCTTTCCAGACTACTTCGATATCCAGAGAAAAACAAGAGACCTTAAACAAAGACTTTTGGACACCTAATAGCAATGGCCTCGAACCTAATAGCGTCCTTGCTCCTAGTGGCGATGCCCTTTGTTTCTAGTAGCTTCTTGCTCCTAGTAGTGAGGCCAGGAGCCCCTAGTAGCGTCCTTGCTCCTAATATCCAGAGATATGTCCTCAGAGATATGTCCCGAAACTTCCGGGGACGACCGAGGAGAAAGTCATCTCTGAGGACGAAGAGAAGAAGGTGCGCAAACAATGATGCACTGTGACAGATGTGCGATGACAAATCATTATTTGTCATGAGGCATGCTTTTCTCGCATTCAAGTCTTGAATGGAATCCGCTAGTGTATACTCTAGGGAACCTTCACTTCAAGCACCTAGAGGGTCGGTGGTAGACATTCACAGATCAGCTTCGCATCTAAACCTCTATTCAAAGTCTTTGAAGAAGAAATGCACAAGATGTTGTGGAGACAGGAATTGGAGGTCATGTGCATGGTGTCACATGCAACAGGTTTGAGTTACACGAGAGGGCCATGTACCAGAACCAATCATGCGAGGATGGCGAGGATGGCTAAAGTCGACTAGTCTTTGGACAAATCTCATTTCATCACAGCAGCCTTCCTCTTAAACCTATAAGCCTCCATAAAGTTCTAGGAACCAAATGAAGAAGCGTGAGCTATCCTGCGTCCATACTAGTAGCTTAAGTAAGGTACTAGCTACCTCGGTTAATTAAGTAGGAAGGGGGGGGAGCGGGCTTAAAAAAAAGATCCCTTCTTTTCATCACACTGACAGTGTGATCTCAGGTCATTACTTCGACAAATTCCAGTTGCATCTCTTTTTGACGACTTTGGTTCCTGGGGCCTTAGGAACCAAAGAGGAAGGCGCCAGTGGATCTCAATTCGTTTGAGCTGGATTCGCTGAAGCCAGGGGACTAATCCAGGTTCGGTTTTGTTGCCAAAGACTGCCATCCTTTTGCAGGTGGTCGTCCGGCGGACGCCTTTGGGTGTTGTGGCAGTCATTGCGCTTCTTGGAGCAATTGGCAACAGGGCAGGTCGCTGGTCCTTTCAAATTCGAAAGTCTTGTTTCGTTTGTACTGGGTCGGCTCTTGCCAGGTAGCAATTTGTAGTGATGTTGTTTGAGCACAAAGGAAGGAAAGAAGAACATATTTAAAATGAAAGCAGGTAAACGTATTTTTTTGTTCGTAGCTGGCACTTGCAAGACCTCAGGCCCTGGAATGCACCCATTGTTTTGGGTTGGAAGCCAACTGCCACCGCGCTGGCCTGCGGCAACGCAGTTGGGGCGCACAGTCTGGGAAGGTGTCGTGTATGGACTCTAATCGAGCACTTGTTCCTAATAGCTTCTTGTTACTACTACTAAGGCACCTGTTACTACTAGCGATGCACTTGTTCCTAATAGCTTCTTGTTACTAGTAGTAAGGCACTTGTTACTAGAATCGATGCACTTGTTCCTAGCAGCTTATTGTTACTCTAATTGAGCAACACAAAACAGATCAGACTCTGCACGGATGTCAAGACAGATCAGAACATCTGGGTCCCTCATGACTCATAACTCACAACCACAAAGTGAAAGTCTTGAAGGCCTTTTGGCCTCTCAAGAGCACCGATCACTTCACTAAATTTACAACATCCTTCATGGCACATCAGCATAGCCCTTCTTGAAAGCTTTTCGAAAGCAGGACAACATGTCTATAGCCCCAAAGACATCGGGTATGACGGACTCCACCGCCTTCTTCATGCTCTTCGCTGAATGCACTGCTTCGCCAAGGTGGTGCTGAAGCCGGCGCCCCAGACACCCTTGACCACCTTGCGCATTGGCGAGCTGCTGCGGCCCATCCTCCCACGAGGCCCCTTCGTCGCAGCGATGGGGGTGAAAGACAGGCGATTATGCTTCTTGTTACTACTAGTAAGGCACTTGTTACTACTAGCTTCTTGTTACTAGTAGTAAGGCACTTGT